CGTGTGGAAGCCCCACAGCCGCGGAGCAGCGCGGGCCCGTGCCAACCATGCTGCCCCCGAGCCGAGGGAGAAGCCGGGGCAAGGCAGAGCCTGGAAGCGCGCAGCGGGGCTCCTGGGTCTGACTTCTGCAGGTAACGCACCGCGTCTCTTGCGACCTGCAGCTCCAGGTAGGAAGATCTCGCTCCCGCGCGCGCGCGCGCGCTCACTGCCTCGCACCTGCGCGCACCCTTCGCCCGCGGACACACCTCGCTCGCTCCCTTCCCTGCTGGGGAAGCTGATCTCCCGGCGCTAGGCTTCCCAGGCCCGAAGGGGCCACAGATAAGAAGCGGGGCCTGCCAGGGAGAGTCAGCCCACCCCCTTGAGACATGCCAAACAATCCCCTTTGCAGCCCCCCTCTATGCCGGGACACATGAGCAGAAAACAGGCCCACCGATTTTTTGTTTTTGAAAACATGATTTATGTATTTATTCAATTTATGTAGCCACCCATCTCGACTCAGGGCGGCTCACACAGTTAAAATAACAAAAAAAAAACCCAAATACAGTAAATAAGCAGAAAAATAGCAACAAACCCCATTAAAAGCAAATAAAACAATGAAAAACAATTAACGCCTAACAACCTAATCTGCAGGAGAGGGCAATCGGTATCTTGCACAAGAAAGCGGGGCCACCAATTTTCAGGCAATCCTCCCCTGACTTACCTTGGCCTTCACCCCAGTGAACTTGATGGGGCTTGCTTGTGAGTAAGTGGGAAGAGGTTCAATCTTAATGCAGCTCCCTGCTAGGGGAATGCATATGAGGTGATAAATCAATTCCATCTGTTTCTAAGACAGAGTTGTCTTCTGCCTTAGAATTCAATTAATTATACAGTTATACAGAATTGCAAAGACAAGTCCCATTTAACTAATTAGGGCTTGCGTCCAGGTAGGTGTCCTAAGGCCCTGCATTTCATGCTTGCACCCAGATTGCGCCTTTGGGGGAAAAAGGGCACCACTCCCATGGTTTGCGTAGCTATGATTGAATAAGCCACAGCTGGCCACAAGTAAGCCATAGATCACGGTTTACAACCAGTGAATTGTAAGCCAGGTCTATACTTAATACGCTGAGGGAATCTAACTTCTCCAGCAACAACTTACTGTTCAACAAACCAGGATTTAGCACGGCATTTATACTCCGTCATTAAGCCAAAACCAAACAAATCCCAGTGTGGTTTAGCGTGAACTGTGAACAGCCTCTGACTAAGCTGACTTCCTTTTTGGAGGCACGTGGGAAGAATTGGAAAGCACGCGTCTGAAACAGCAGCAGTAGCTTTTGCAAAATTGGTTCTGAAAAGGGTCTTATGCCTTCTCCTGGTTAATCCGAGCATTTTTTGAACCCACAGGAAGGCCTTTCCTTGAATATTGCAATCTAATAGATGAATGGACTAAACACGGCGAGTCCTAATTATTATTCCAACCGAATAACAACAGTGCAGTGCAGCAACTTAGAAATACGGGATTGCAATCCCGGTTTCCCCACTAGCTAGTTCTCTTCTGCGGACTCAAGGGATGTGCGTATATGCGTGGAGGGGCGTCTGGGGGAGGGGGCAAAAACATCAAGATGGCGGCCGCACCCACGCAATGCCCCACTCCTTTAATGTGATGCGCATTAAAAGGGGCAGGGTTTTGATCACATGGGGCCAGCTGCCATTTTGACTTTGGAAGCCTCTCTGTGCACGTGCCTGCCTACCTGCCCACCCACCAGCTGTTTTCCTTCTATTATCGTTATTGTTGTTGTCGTGTTGTTGTTACCACTGCAGTTACGGCATTCTTCCCCGGACCACAGTGAATAGGCGGCAGTAGCGTTTCTATTTCGCCTCCTCTCCCGCTTCGGTCTTGAGGCCCCATGGAGAAAAGGGCCTGTCTGCCTCTTCCCAATAAAAGGGATAACCATCTGCTTTCTTGATTAACCAGGAAGCATCTTTTCAATCAGCCAGCAGGGTTACATGGAGCAATCGGCAGCCAGCCGTCCCCTCTTTGCAAGCCACCCAATGGCGATGTGTAAATAGATCTGATGCTAATAAAGATACGCAGTTCTTGCTCTGGCTCTCTCCTTAATCGTCCAGTGTGCCCTGCGAGGTGGCTGTTCAGGGCAAAGTGTGAAGGGGGATGCAACCCCCCCCAGCCCCTGCTCCCTATTTAGCTCCAGAGGGCTTCAGCGTTGCCATTCCTGCAGGCGCCGGCTGCGCCATCGAGCTCAACTTGACTAGAGCAAGTAGGGTGGTCTGGGTTCCTCCAGACATGCTGGAGGAACAGTTTTAAGTGGCAATTGGAAACACTAGTCAGGGAAGAAGCCCACCCTCACCCCAGACCCTGAAATCACAAAGGACGAGGGGTTTCTTAAAACTCCCTTCCCAGAGCACCCTCTTTGCTTTCAGTTTGCTCAAGGAGGAGGAGGGACCACAGAGTTGCACTTGAAGATAACGTTGTCCACACGTGGCTGCTGTCTTGGACGTGCCAGGTTTGTTCTCCACCAAGAAGGACCAGGCTTCTCGAAATTTGCAGGTCCTTTTGCCTTCTGAGACATTTTCCTTGCCTAGAGGTTTTGAATTACAACTCCTATAAGCCCAGCAGTGGGGAATGATGGGAGCTGTAGTCTGAAACCTCTGGAGGGTACTAGGTTGCCTGTCAACCATGGATCAGACCCCTACACTTAAACTTCATACTTCAAAGGAAGTTGGGAAGGAGGGGCAGATGGTCCAGGAACAACCTGAAGGCCTGGCCCAGAAGTACGTATGTTGAGAGAAGACCAGGAGCTGGTGGAAGGAGTAGGCATGGAGGGCCATTAAGTGACTTCTCTACGATTCAGACCTCGTTGGTGGTGTCCACGAGGCAGGTGTCCACATCGGCAAGATGGTGGGCACATCTTCGCAGCCCAAGCCCTACCCCTTTGTACATCTGCACATGAGGTTTGGGGCTTGGATCAAAACACCACGCCTGCCACCCTGCCCCCGTGGATGCCAGGGAACCTCCCCAGGATGAGATGGGTGAATTTTGCGACCACATTCATGGAAGCAAATCATACCCAGTTATGATTTTGCAGACCTCTGAATCCACAAATGGGCGTGCCTTACCTCAAAATACATGATTCCAAAAGAGCCAACCCCTGGAAAACCGTGTGCTATATTTCAACACTGAAAGCTGGGATTATTCATCAAAGCTGAAGTTCATAGAACAAAGGTTTTGGTCATAAATTCCTTAGAGCCCAGGACATAGCTATTCTGCTGATAAAGCTCTATGATATGTGAAGAACATCTCAAGAACTAAGGAACAGCCCCATATTTGGATAGAGGACTTTCTTGGCGGTTCGTACAGCCCGTTGCTCCTATTCCTGGGTTCCTGACTCCTGCCCAGCTTCCATCATTTCTAATCTGCCTCTGCCGTCCTGTCTCGGCGTACCATGAGTGCACGCATGACTGAAGCACACGCTGCAGAGGTCAAAGGGAATCTACGCACCAGATTAATGCTCGCTCGCAGGAAAGGTTTTGACATCGCACCAAAAGTTCTTCCGTTTTGGTGTAGAGGCCTTGGGGGAAAGAGAAAGTTCCTCTTGCAAAACTCTCAGGTTATGAAAACGTTCCCCTTCCTGTGTTTTGCTCGCTGCTGTGATTCTTATCTCTGGCTACTCTTTTAGCACTTTTTCCCCCTTCTCTGATTAGGCACTTTCTTCTCCCTGCTAGACAGGAGTCCCTGCAGACTGTGTTCTGGAAATCCTTTTATTTGCTCCAGGGCTGTCTGCCGGGCGTGGTCAAAAAAGTTAAGAGGGTGGCCATGATGGTGCGAGCAAAGGTGGGGCTTTGGATACACCGTTGCATCCCCCATGCTGATGCTTCTGACCACCCCCTGGGGACACTGTTTCTGTGCTTCTTCTCTGCTATCTGCACGTCTTCCATGCCTTCAGCTCTGCAGTATGTCTTGAGCAAAGAAAATGCCATCCAGGATTTCAGCAAGGGGGTCAAAAAGGTGAAAATGGTGGCTGCAGCCACCATGCAATCAGCCCTTTTAAGTGTGTAAAAACAGACAGAGCTTCAATCCCATGCTTGCGACTGCTACCTAGACCCTTTTCTTTGTCCCCCCCCCACAACCATTTCATTCCAAAAATTGATGCAAATCATTGAACACCATTGGTTGATGGGTTCATCAACTCTGTTCAAAACATCACCTTGATTCAAATCTGCAAAACAATTTGACTTGAAACATCCGTTTGAATTATCAGTTTAGGTCAATTCAGTTCAGCCTGGATTCAGATTAGGCCATTCTAAGCCGGATTCAGTTCAGTTCACATAAAGTGGGGGTGGGAGGGGGTGTTTTTGTACACGCACCAGAGCAATGGATCTACTGAATCCAATGAATTCCCGGTGACTGTTTGAACTGATTGAGCTGTTCGGTTTGACAAATCAATTCGGAGTGAAGACTCTCCAAAGGGAGCGTTCACACAGCCTCCACCCTTCTCCGCCCCGCCCCAGGGACTGGGGGGGGGGGGGGGGGGGG